ACACTGGTCTAGACTTATTTTTACTTATTCTATTACTTAAAAAAATTATATTACACTTCCTCTACAGATTTAGACTGTATACTTAAAAAGGCTCATTAGTGATACAATTCCTGCTTCTATATCATGGTCTTTGTAGTTCACACACAAGTTACATTCCTGGTTAGAATCTTTTAGGGCTTCACAATTCTTGATGGAAGTCCTGACCTCTATATATACCATGTATAACTTAGTGCTGAACTTCATTTTTGACCACCACAGTAATAACATATTCAATCTCTGAGCTCCCACTCATCCAACAGTTCCCCACCCCCACCCCTGATATTTTTTCTGCCTTGGGTAAAATCACACAATAGACTCTTGTGACCATTGCCAAGCATTTACAAAAGAATCACACTAATTCATCCCTTTGGTGAGCTACTCTTTGAGAGCAGGCTCTGGAAGCACCAGACTCTGAAATTACAGTAGCTCTTCTGTCTTACGCTCCTACCATTTCACATAATTTCTCTGGGGATTCTCTAGCCTCTTCTCAAGTGTGTTCACATTCCCAATTTCCTATGGAAGATTCCCAGGAATTTGCCACACTTCCATCAAACTGAATAATCACTTGCTAAATGTCCACAGCCTTCTAAAAAGGTTCTCTTGATTGAAGCAAAAAGAAAAAAGGCAAGCCTCCTTTTCATTTTCCTTTGCGATCTTCATAATACTGGTGCTAGCTGTTACAAGCTGTCCTTCCTGCAGCCTTCTCTATCTCCATCCGATCTGGATCATCCAATCTCTTTTGGGTTCCCCTTAGGCCTGGGATTCAATTTTGAAGGAAGAGATTAATAAAAGGTCTTGTTGAAGGCCTTATTCTTCACATCATCCTTTAGAACTGGAATCAAGACCTCTCCTGCCTATTGATGTCTGAAGAACACTTGCCTTCTACGTGAACCAAATGATGCTGTTCCAGAGTCCAACATTTGTGGCCTTCTTGGCCCTTTCTAAAGGATTTAGTCTTTCTCCACAGTGTTTACCCAAATAGAGGGTGGGAACAAGCGAGGTTTGTTATTAGTTGGGCATAGAGGGTGGCAACCATGAAAGTTTGTTATTAGTTGGCCAAACAAGAGTAACCTCATGTTTACTCTGTGAAACTTACGGCAGCATCTGCAGTTTTCTTTTGCAGAATTCCTTGTCAGGAAAGCTGTGAGCCATGGACTGAGATTCCAACAGAGTTTCAAGATCAGTGGTTTTGCTACCTTTCCATACTGCACTACACTGTGATTCACACATGGTATCAAGAGAATAACAAACCTTAATGGTTTAATATCACTGTTGGCCATATGCCACAGCTGAGTGGTAGTAGTTCAAGAAGACAGCTCACTAACCCTTGAGAGTAATATATTGCATTTTATATGGCATTGTTCATCCAGAAGGGTACCAAAGTGCTATGCAAGTGAATATATATTCATTAGTCTTGGCAATAGCAAATGCTGTAATTTATATTACATTACAGGCTTCCATTATAAACCTCTTTATTCATTTCCTTATACTTTTTGTTCTTTGGGTCTCAAGCTTTTTGTGTTTAACTTGTACTCAGAGGACCTAACTATCTCCATCAGTGGTTTTGTTCAGTGTCATACTTCTTCCACTTCACAGCATATGTCCTATCTCTATTTTACAGGGTCCCACAGTGGTGTCACACTGTGGGGATATTCTCTGTGCAACAGATAGATAGAATATTATTTGAGAAAATGATACATTGTGTTTTTAAAAATAGCAGGTCATTTTTCTAGCTACAGTCCTCTTGAATAAATCTGAGTGTAGGTTATAAATAGTGTGTGGTTATTTTTTCACAACACTGTAGCATTTAAAATCCTTTCCCAGCCCTTTTGATCTTCAAAATAATTCTAGATAAACTGAAAAGAGATGGCAACAATTCAAGATGAGCAGCATTCTAAGGACTTTTGTTATTCTGAAGTTATTCAGAAGTTATTCTAAGCTTATGTGTCTTATAATTGACTACTACCAAACGCTTGATTTCATATCACTTAATTTATGCAGCCCCTTCTAATTACTGCCTTGCTCTTCTGCTCTTCTTGCAACTCTGATTGCTTCTCTGCTAGTTAGAGCCATTCATACTTTCCATTCAAAAATACCTGATGGTTCAAGCACTCGTTTTAAGAATAGTGAAGGAAATATTGAGGCTTTTACTTTATTACGTTCTTAAGATGCCAGGCAGTTTATCAAGAACACACAAAAGGATACAACAATGGGAACATCAATCATCCAGGTTTTCTCATTTCCATTTGAAGAAGGTCTAACGCTGTTGTATTTTCCTGTCTTTTTTCTTATCTGCCCTTAACCACCACCTATCTAGATTTCAATCACTTTTTTACATATTCTGTTCCCATTGTGTAATTCATGGTTAGTTTTCAGTAGGTAATTTATTTAAGCAAATCACTATTGAGATTAACTAGCATTTCAAATCCATACAATAATTTGATTATGTGCTTTCAGATTGGTGTCCACTCTTAGCAATCACATAACTAGGCTTCTCCAGGATGATCTGTCCCCAGCCTGGCCCTTCAAATCTTTGTGATTCCAAGCAGCATTACTAGTATCTCACCTTTGCATATGGTTGTTGCTACTTGGATAAGGCACTTATAGATTAAGGTTGTGGTTTGTCTAGAAGTAATTTTTTTTATCATTTTCATCCTTTGCTTTTTGTAAAAAACTTGTTTCACTTGGATTCTTTTATAGTTCTAGCACTAACTCATATAATGCATGGATTTAAGAAGCTTATTTTTATGCAGTGTTGGAGTGCATGAAACTGGCAACAGCTAGTGACTTACTAATGAAGAGATTAACACTATGAATTCTATATGCTGCATTCCTGATGTGCTTCCTACATCTCCCATTATCGCAGTGAAAGATTGAGGCTAGCAGGACTAAAAAAAGACTTTGCTACTAGCCTGGCAAAGAGGATAGGTCAATTGGTAATATGTCACCACTAGGATGCAGTGCATGTTTTGTGGTCTATAAGAACCAACCTTCACCAGAACTGTATGAATTGGCTGGTTGATAAAGACGAAGATTCAGAATGAAGTAATTAATATGAACTAAACACCTTGTTTAGGCATTTGTGTCTAAGGTTGAACATGCGGTAAAGGGTTGAAGAACTTTAAAGGAGCAGAAGGAAATTTCAGGCTCAACATTTTTGTGAATCTCTTTTCATGATTTCAAAAGGAGATGTTTTTCTGCATAATACGGGTAGTCCTCACTGAATGACCATTTGTTTAATGATGGTTCAAAGTTATGACAGCCTCAGAAAAAGAGCTTTACAACCTGTACTTGCACTTATGGCCATTGCAAACCATTGCAGCCCCCTGTGGTCACATGATCGTGATTTGTGACCTTTTTTACAACAGCTGTTAAATGAATCACCACAGTCGTTAAGCGAATCACAGTCATTAAGCAAATTCTGGCAAACAAGTCCATTGGGGAAGCTGGATTCATTTAATGACCACGTGATTCGCTTAATAACCATCATAAAAATGGTCATAAAATTGGGTCCGGTCACATGGTGACTCATTTAATGACTGCCCCACTTAACAACCAATTTTTCAGTCCCTCTTGTGGTCATTAAGTGGGGCCTACCTGTAGTATGACAATTCCAAGTGTAGTTAATTAATAGGTAAGTGTTTTGAAGTAAAACTAGGTCTGCAAGAATTCTGTAGGCAGCAATCTGAACTCAACAGGACTTATTTATGAGTAGAAATGTATAAGATATCGATGGAGAATCACCCAGGAAATAAACTGAATGTTTTGGAGAAAACACCATGTACATTTCTTCTATTTGTCTTAACATATGTACTCTTTCTCAAAAGTATTTCCATCTGAACTCATACAAGGTTGCTATTTTGGATATGCAGATACTTTTCTCTTAAACTATTCATTGAATATCTTAATTACAGATTTGAAATTGTTGAAAGTGTTTACACTCTTGCGTTCTCACTCCACATAGCAATAATTTTATGCTATGATTTGATGAAAATAGCATGGGCTTTGTTAACCCTGTATAATTGGTTTAACACTGACCTTTTAAATGGGCAGTAAGTAAATATTAATTTATTTGACTGAAGACTAAGCATAAAATATTTCAGTTTTTATTTATTGTTAAAATAAATGGATGGTGGCCTAATATCTCTTTGTTTAGAAAAATTCACATATTTTACTTGCTGGTCAGTTAAAATAAAGTATCTGCACACCAAATATTACTTTTTTCTAAATATAACTGAGTGAAAGAATTGGATCATGTTAGTCCTAAATCAAATTAGGTCACTGTGCATTTATACTTGAGCAGTATACGCATTTTTCTACACCTAAGCTCACACTTGGACTTTGAGGAACATGTATTCAAACAACTGGGAACAGCCAAGGTAAAGAAGTAGCTGGGATCAGGACAATAGCCACATTTGATTTATTTACAATAAAAATGTAAATTTAATGTGATTTAAATTTAATTTTTTAGATACAGTTAATAAGATTACTCCCTATGCATTTCATAAGCTATTTCACAACAATTAATTTGAATGGCAACTTTTGGGGAATGGACTTTTGGGGAATGAAGCCAGTTGTGCAGCTAAGCAGCATTGATGTTGTTTGCAGTTGGAATATTTCTGACCATCATCAAACATGTCAGGAGCTGCAGGCACTAAAGCAGAAGCCTTCTGTTCTGTCCTAAGTAGTACAGTATGAGCGCTGGCAGTGAGATAGCATTTTCTTCAGCGGTTAGAAGTGTTTTGTTGTTGTTCTTCTGCTAGGTTTCAAGTGATCCCTGCCTAAGTTCCAGTCTTTTGACTTAGTTCCTAATGCTGGATTCCAAGTCCAGCTTTTAGTTGTTTTCAGCTATTAGGGAGTTTTCTCAAAATAATTCATTTAGAGCAAGTGGAAACAGATGATTCCTGACTTTTTGTTTTGTTTGCTATGACATATTTTATAATCTTTTATTTTAAATGCAGGTGAACCCAGAAAATTTGATCCAAAGTTCAGCGGACCTATTCACAACAGGTAAATGTTTTATTTTGATATATTAAATTGCATTTTTTGTGTATGAATACAAAAGAGGATATATGCACTTAATTGATTGGGAAGAAAGGATTTTCTCTAAGGGAAGTTCTTGGGAGGACACATTTCTCTCTCTCAATGTATGACTGAAAACATATTCAAGAGAACCAGGAACCATTGTACTCTTTTCCCCCCACAGACTGCTCTTAAAAGTAATATTGCTATTAAGACTTGCTTATCCTCAGCTCTTCCTGTGTGAAATTTGGAGAATATTCTTGCCCCTGTTGCGCAGCCTTAAGAGATGTTAACTATAACTGTCTTCCAGATGGGAAGATTTTGAAAAGCTGTAACTGGAGTACAGAGAATTCTGGTGGTGTTTATATTGATACCAGAATTAAAATTATTTTACTTATTGTTGATCTGTTTTCATCTAATTAGCTTGCTCATGTTGGGCTAGGTTTCTATGATTAATTTCTGGCCCAGTATTTATTAGATTGCTTTGTTAAAAATGAATATAACATCAGCTATTTTCCTCTCTTCTGGTACAGTAGATAAACAGGGACATACCAGTTTCATATCTGAACATTCTCAGGTGAATACCATTCTGGATTTCTGATACGTCAAATTTTAATTCTAAATAAAGCCTAAAACTGATTCTCTTGTCAGCACTAATTGCTGCAGTTCTTCAGTCCCACTCTCTTAAAAAGCCAGTTCAGGCATGCAACAGAGATAGATAAAAATAGCCCTCTTATTTTTCTATAATTTCCTGATCCTTCTCTAGTATGTCTTTAACTCCAATGTCATCAATATAGTCCACCTATACTCCTTGCTATTTTTCACATTGTATATATTAATTATTGGTCCCAATAATTTTCTTCATAAGAACTTTACTAAGTTATAAAAAACATACAGATAAAAGCAAACAAGAACTAATAAAGAGAGAAGGAGAAAACAAGAGAATTAGAAATAAAGAATACAAAACTCTTGAAAATTAAAGAAAAGGGAAAAAAGGAAAAATTACAAAAAGAATGACTTCTGATTTCTTATATAGCCCATATAGATAAATCATGTAGTGACCTCTTACTCTAAAACTACATCTTAACATACATATTTTGTATAACCAATTGGTTCCAATAATTTTTAACAATATACTTGTGAGCTGTTGTGTTGTATCAGTTTTATTCTTTTCATTTCAGACTTGCATTTTGCAATAGAATTTTGATAGTGCTAGCATTCCGTTGGACTTGTACCATTTCTGACTTGTAGCTAAGCTTCTGTTATTGCTGTAAGACCTTTGGCCCTTTTGACTTCCCCTTTAAACATTCTTTTTTATTAAACTTCAGAATCCTTGAATAAGAGTAGGCAACCTTTGAAACTTTAAGAGCCCATCAGAGGCACTCTCATTAAATTTCTGCCAGTTAAAAGACAGAAGTTTCTCTGTGCCAGCCCCTTTAACTTCCAAGAATGTCACACTTCTAAACCAAGCACTAGCTATCCATTATTTTATTTTCTAAGAATGCTAGAACATCCATGTTAGCTCAGTCCCATATGAAAAAAAGTTGATGCTGGAGGCTTTTACTTTACTTTGTAGCATGCCAAATTCACATTTATTTATGTATTTGTTTGTTTGTTTATTTTTATTGAAAGAATCAAAACCATTCTGAGCATGTCAACATACTGCATGTAACTCCTAGTTGGTGGAATATGAGCAACAGTATATTGGCTTGCAAAGTAGCGTGTAGATTAGAGATCCTCTTGCTTGAATAGTATGAACATGCTTGGAATAAAAATTGGCTTTGGTTGTGCGACATATTGGCCAAAATGTGCCAAAACTAACCACTACAGTCCTTACTTGTTAACGGATAGTACTGCATGTGGCATGAGTATGACCAAGAGTGTTGAGTAGTCTATACCTTCATCTTACTAAAAAGGTTTTAGTATGTGAAAGCCTCAGTTGTCCAAAGCCATGATGTTAATAGCTTTGGGCCCATCTGATAATAAACGGAATACGGCATACGGAAGATTTTGATTTGACATGTAAGAAGAATAAATGGTAAAGAGCATGAATTAACGGAAGGAAGGAAGGAAGGAAGGAAGGAAGGAAGGAAGGAAGGAAGGAAGGAAGGAAGGTAGGTAGGTTATGTTTATCTGTGAAACCAAGAGAAAGGAGAATACATCTTAATGAAAATGGTCTGATCTTGTGGAATGGAGTTCATTAATACATGTAAGGCAATGAAGGTGTAGATTTAATTATAAGTAAATGAGATAAAATGTATATCAGAAAGCATGAGCCTGTGTCAACTAGTTTGTTGTGGGTGCATATGAAATCCAGAGACTAATGATAGTTACTTTTCAGGGAATGGTGATAATGGAAGAACCAAATAGTAGTTTTAAGAAAAATTGTGTGACACTCTGAATGAATACGATCCAGGAAGAAAAATAATTCAACTAGGTAACATGAATAGGAACAAGGTAAAAGAATATAGAAAAAGTTACTTCACCATTTAGAGACTCAAGAATAAATTAGAATAGTGATAGTTGAGTGAGGATTTACTTTGAAAATGTCTGTTGGCTCCAAATATGTGGTTTAAGCATTAGTCTATTCATATGTTTGTGTGGCAAAGGAATGGATATAAATATAAAAGCATGATTGACTGGATTGCTTATGATGAACAATTGAAAGAATAAGTTTAGGACACAAGTATGGTGAGAATTCTGACTGTGGGTCAAACTATATTTTGGTTGTTTCAGGAGTGTATCTTGGGGAAAAAATGGACATGAAACAAAAAGGGAAAGAAGTAGAAAATATGGGTCATGTAAGAATAATATTAGAAGATAGATTAGTCTCCCAAAAGAATGAATAGAAAGTGGACATAAGGAAAGAGAATATGATCACTCCTTGGAAAAGAGGGAAAAGAATTATATATAGAGTGTCACAGAAGTGTGTGGAGTTACAATAATGAGAAGTATGAAAAAGGAGGCATGGTGGAACAATGAACTGGATGAGAATAAAAAAAAAACCAGAATGATCACTACAAAAAACGAGGATGAGAGAAAAACATTGTTACATATGTATGTAGAGAAAAAGAGTAGCAAAAATACTGTCATAGACAGCAAGGAAGTGTTAAGATTGAGAGGGAGAAAAAATGCTGAAAGATTTTGATAAAGACAATAATTTTGAAGGTAGATGAAGAGAGGTAAACAAGGAGCCTTTAGCAGAGTGAATGGAATTAAAAATAAAAGCTTTTAAATGATGCATGGGATGAAACTGAAGTAAGAAAATGCTAAAAGGAATATAATAGACATTTATATTGGAGTAATAGAGATATGTTGAAGAATGGAATTGAAGTAAATGTTATAAATATTAGTATACAAGAAAGAATAGTTGAAAAGAAAATAATGTGAAAATGTTGAACAAAGGTTAAATTAAAAGCTGCAGGTTTAGATGGTTTAATTGGAAAAATATTAAAATATAGATGTGGTTTGCTTATGGAGTAGCTGTGCAACTTCCTTAATGTGTGAAAAGAGCATCTGTGCCTGATAAATGGAAGAATGTGGTTATTATTCTAATACATAAAGGGAAAGGTAGGAAGCATAAATAAAGAGTACAAGAACAACATTTTAGAAGTACAGGGTGGTTTTGTGCCAGGCATGGCATGCAGAGGTCAGATTTTTGCTGCTCAGCAAGGCATTGAGAAATGTGTGAATATGAGAAAGAAATTTTATTACACATTTGTTGATTTAGAAAATGCATATGATAAGCTTGAATTATAAAAAATTTTACACAAACAAGGACTTGAAAGTTACTTGCTGAATGTGAGAGATATGTAATGAAAGTAAAGCATGAGTGAGAATAAATAGAATCCTTAATAAATGGTTCAGTATTGAGTAGGGAGTAAGACAATGATGTGCAATGAACCCTTGAGTACTTAATAAATTTATGGATAAATGTATAAGGAGTGCTTCTGGTGATATTAGAGATATTGTGGTTGCGAACATGAACATACATGTAGTTTTGTAAACAGATAATTCTATATTGTTTGCTGAGAATCTGAATGATTTGCAGCAAATTTTAAATATATTGTATGATTTAATGATATATATAATGTATGAAAAAATATGCTGAGATGGTTTGGTCAAACAGAAAGAATGAATGAGGATAAAATTACAAAACAAATATATAAATATATAAAGAAAGAGTGATTGAGTTGTGTGGAAGGGAACATTGAGAAAGCAAAGGTTGGATGGAGTTGATGAGATTTTCAAAAAGAAAGGTTAGAAATTAAAAAAAGAGCATGAAGTGATGTGCGGATATTCTAGTGGCAATTATTGTTTGGAAGGATAGAAGGATATGAAATGGTATAGTAAATAGTGCTGGTGTAAAATAATGTAAACTATGGCTCTTTTTCTTTTTCATACCTTTAATTTCTTATTTTCTTATTTCTGTGTTCTATTTCTTCTGCATAATAGTGCTTACTCTGAAAGGGACAGCATTATGATAGTATACCTGTAAGAATCTAAACCAGAAATCAGGAAGGGCAGGGAATCAGAGGTATCAAGTGAAATTTCTGTGAACACATTGGTGTTTATCCATTCCAAATACAATCTTTTTTTTTTTTTTAATGACTGCATACATACTTGTACAATGGAATTTCCCCACTTATTAATATATTCTCTGGAGTTTTTTTTCCCCCCAAGAGTGTCCCAGTCCTCTGGAGTTGATTCAGATATATGTGCTGTGGTGAATGTTACTAAAAATCTGCTACCCTGACTAAATAATATCCAACAGCAGAATTACACTGTTGGATCTGACCCATTGGATAGTCATATGATCTACATGAGTTGTGTTTTGGATATTCTGAATTAGCTGCATATATATTTTCGTATAAGAGCAGTCCATTTAGGAGAAAAAAAATATACAGTGTAGCATTTCCAGATACTATTTATTTATTAAATATCCTGTGTTTAGGATCTCCTCCAGGAGATCAAAGTAATGCACACAG